GTCAAATGGCCAACTCATTAGTTGTGGCCGGCGCGAATGAGAAGGTGGAATTTTTGAGTCTTGCTTTGGGCGCTTAGGAGCTCTGAGCCGCTCTCTGGCTCTGGCGGCGGTGCGCTTGGTCCACATGACATCTGGATGTTTGCGACGGGGCAGGTGCGTCGCCTCCCGCCTTCCGCGGCTTTCTTGTTGATTGACGGCCCAGCGGGCAAGGGAGGCATGAGGTAGCACTTCAGGATGGGGGGCTCCTGCTCGGTGCCCTGGCTTCAATGTTTTTGCTCTGGCTGCGCAGCTTCGCCCAGACATTCTCGCCATTTCGAGATCAAGGTGTGAGAAGTTTGTCGACAACAGTGTGCTCTCGACTGGCAGGCATCCAAGGCTCTTCTTGCCCCCGTGCATCACACAGAGCTCAGACGTCGGCCGACAGCGGCATTAAGCAGCATCTGTTCCGATGCATCACGACTTCCATGATCCGCCGGCTGCGAAATCAACAGTTTCCAAGAGACACGCAAAGCAATCGTCGCATAGAAACGGCCAATGGGAACCATGACAGTATGTTGGCACAGCTGTCGGCATTGTGTCATGTTGCCGCGGACGTGAAATAGGGTCGAGGTTGCGTTGCTGCGACCGCTTGACTGGAACAGATGGACCAAGCGGCTCGAATTCTTGAATTGGCCCATGGAGGCGATGGGACAATCCAGACAACATCGTTCGCCGCAACGTCTGCGAGTACCGCATCTCACGGTGCTTATCGGAGCTTGGCCGTTTTGATACAGTCTGTGGACGCAAAGTATTCGACTACCCGGCGGCCTTGACTGACTCCGAAGGGGTGGAATTCTTATCATGATCCCCCACTGAATGATGCCCAGCGGGTATATAAACCAAGTTACTACTTGGCGTTAACGCCGATCGGCGGCGGGCAACTGTCAAAGTACATAGCCGCGCAAACGGAATATACGGTCTCATCACATGGTTTCAACTTTGAGTGCGCATCCATGACGGAGGCCGTGTCTGCCTGGTTCATGATGAAGACTGCTGCCATGGTGTGCCTGTTGTTGTTGTTGTTGTATTGTATGCTTTCCGTCGGAAGAGAAGAGCCCTAAACCATGGCTTCCAAAGTTTGGCGGCACGGCGCAGCGCCACAGCGCCCTGCTGAGGTATGCGCTGAAGAGCACGGAGCGTCATTACGGGGCACCTGGGCCTTTATTGGCGACGCCGTCATTGCCAAATCCGCTGGCCATCAGTTTTAAGTCCTCGAAATGGCCCGTGACAACTTGGACAGCTCCAGCATGGCTGTGCTTGTTGCTCTTGCGCCGGCGAATCCAGCCAATTATACCAGGACAGTCTGATGATGTGGACATCGATTCTTCCCACAAAATATGGTCCTATGTTTGCAATCGTCAGGTTTAAGAACGTACGGCTCTCCATGATTTGTCGAACTGGGGTGGCTTAATTGTCTATCTAGTGTCGTTTCAACGCAGCCCGGAGAATATTCCCGGAGCTACAATGCAGCCCATTATACTACATACATACGAGGCAGCCAACAACAAACCTGGTTTCGCGTTGAGCCGGACCTTTGGGTCGCATTATGCGCGCGACACGGATGGAGAAGCGATCTGGCCATTCCTAGGGAACCCAAGCGCTGAAACTGGTGCAAAAACTCACCCACAAACACTAATAGCCGATGCTGGGTATAAATGCTCTCCCCACTTACAGCACTTCCAATTGCGACGGCTGCAGTCAGGGATTAAGCTGCCAGAAACTCGAGGCACCCACCAGGACGAAAAGTCTAAGCAAGTTGACAGCTCGGGGATGTCTGCAAAGCTACTGAGCAGTAGTTACCGCCCTACAACCAGAGTTCCTGACGGTACCCCAACGCCTACGATGTCATTAGCAACTGTTCTGGAAACGGACCAGTTGACAATGGCGAGGACGCCGCGCTTTTGCCCCAGCAGAGTATCCGCCGGCCTGGAGCTAGCAGAATGTTGCGCTTGTTCTTCTTCCGAAAACAAGATCCCATGACTCCGCAGAGCTGGGTTCATGGACATGACTTCTTGTCCTGCGGGTTCTGTCCGGTTTCTGACTCTTCTATTTCACACTTAAAGGTCTGGGTATCCCCTTCAGGTATGGACATAAATGTTGTAATACTCCAGGGAGAGGCTATCGAAACAAGGTGCCCAAACAACAAACAGATTTATTCGGCCTACGACACGAATTGACTATGCCTTCCAAAATCGCCTCTCCTATTAGCCCACCTGCGACAGTTATTGTCACTGGTGCCAATGGCTTTATTGCTCAACACTGTATTGCAGCGTTGCTCAACCAGGGCTATAATGTTGTTGGCACCGTGAGGTCAGCATCAAAAATCGACCCAGTAAAGGAGGCACACAAGTCACACCCCAGCCTGCAACTAGTAGTTGTCGACGACATTACCTCATCAAAATGTTATCTCGAGGCTTTGGATAACTTGAAGCCGAGCGCAATTTTTCATCTTGCCGCGCCATTCCACTACAACGCCAGCAATTTCGAAACCGAACTTATGATGCCCGCCGTACTTGGTTCTACCGCAATCCTTGAGGCCGCAACTCAAATAAAAAGCATTAAGCGAGTCGTTCACACCAACAGTTTTGCGTGCATATACGACGCTGCCGCCGGGCCATCCCCAGAAAAGACATACACTTCTAAAGACTGGAGTCCGCTTACTTACCAAGATGGTGTTAATGCCTCCAATGCGCCTACCGCCTACCGAGCCAGCAAGGCCGCTGCCGAAAAAGCTGCATGGAATTTCATGTCCGAGAGGAAGCCAGCATTCGATCTAGTGAGCCTTTGTCCCACAATGGTCTTTGGACCTTTCCTGCCTGGATCGAGGCCGAAGTCCATCCAGGAAGTCAACACGAGCAACCTCATGGTCTGGTCTGTCGTCTCTGCTGGCAACAACCAACCTGTCCCTCCTACAAAGGGCCCGTGTTGGGTCGATGTGCGAGATGTGGCCGAAGCCCATGTTAAAGCGCTCCTTGTGCCCGAAGCGGGCGGCGGCCGTTACATGCTTTGCCAGGGCGTCTATTGCAATCAAGAATTTGCCGATGTCAGCCGGAAGGTGACTTCAAAATATGCTGACAAGATTCCAGTTGGCGAGCCTGGCAAGCGAGAGAAGCATACTCATTTTGGGGTCGACGCCAGTGACGCTGAGAGAGTACTTGGGCTGAAATGGAGAGGATTGGAAGACTGTCTAGGTGCTCTTGTACCTCAATTATTTGATATTGAGCGAAGTTCAGTTTCTGCCTAGGAGTGGAAGTCGGCAGACATGCAAAAATGGCTAGTCTGTGGTCACTTGTTATTTTCCATAGCACTATGAACGGTGCTTGTACATTTCGGGCCCTTACGGTGTTGGTGGCAACTCTGATTATTCTTCTTTTTCTTCCACAATAGTCACGACTGAATATGAATAATGATATATACGTGATACAGACGCCCTCGTTCCGCCTTTGATGGTTCGAATTCAGTAATGCTTTGATGAAAATTCAAACCCAGCGCCCACATGCAGCACAAACCTCGTCGCGAAAAAACCCAAGGTGGTTTGATGACTGCATTGTGTCCATGCCATTGAAAAGCACTACACGGCACTTTGCTGTACATTAGGATGATAAATACGCCATCTCATGGCTACATACAATACTAGGGGTAGAGCAACTTGGAAGAGTTTTCCGAAATAGATACCGGCTATAGGGTATGGGAAAAGCGGAAACTACCTAGGCAGGTAGACGAAGCTGTCTCTACAATAGCATACTGAGTGTAATCTCGAAGAAAAGCCATGTCTCACCGAGATATTGATGAATTTTCTTGCCTGTGCACATTGACGACGCAGCAGTGTAAGAGTAGCAACTGTGCGCATTCGTACGCGCTTTCGTCACCGGCTTTATTCTTCAGACTGCCAAGTACCTAGGTATGTTATTGTTAAAGACGGTATAGTCTTAGATATATCTCCCCCCTCTTCTAGGACAGACGTACTCGACCATGTTTCCAGACCGCTCCAGGCGAGTCATCACAGACGGCGTGACAAACCAGTTCCAGTTGCACGGGGAGCGAATCCTGGAAACGGACTACGTCGACACGCCCAAAGTGATTGACGGCTTCTTCGAAGAATGCGCCAAGGCAGGCCCGGGCTGCGCACTGTCAGCATTTGCAAACGCCACAGACGACCTCACGAGCAAGGTACTCGGCGTCGTGGACCGGCTGCGGGAGGAGCCCCTGTCCGCGCGAGAACGCTTCGGCCCACGGCCACTGTTTCGCTGTCCATGCCGTCGCTGTGCATGGCCGCGCATGCGAGGGACTTTTTGAGGCGCGGCACGCTGCCGGCCGAGGGGCCCGAGTGCGAGATTGACGTGCCGTATTTGAGGAACAATGGGGGGATTCGGAAGAGAGACGTTGCTGATGAGAGCGTTTTGGAGGCCCAGGGTGTTATTGCCGAGAAGATGCGCCGGGTTCGTCCGTGATGATTGCCGCCGGGTCTGATTGTCGATGTGAACCCCCTTGATGTGGTGGGTGGAAGTAAATTGTCAACTTTTGGTGGACTTGGAGGCTTTTTTTATGGACGAAACTGCTGGAAGGTTTGTAGCGGTTATCGAAATTGAAGCTACCTTGACTTTTTATCTTTTTTCGGACGAAGCTGCACATGGTTAGCAGTAGCCATCGAGTTTCCAGAGCTTCTTTGCCCTTCCCCAGCCGAGGACCGCTTGCAGTGACCTTTTTGTCCCCCGCGCTGTTTAATGGTGACGATGATGATGATGATAATAATGCTGTTATTATCGTAGGCAAGGCCCCAGTTCAAGTATTCCTTGCTGTGCCTGGCCGTTGCCGCTTGACTCACTCGGCCAATGCACTTACACTTACACCCCTCTTCTACCCAGCTTGATACCACGAGTTTCCATCACCAACATGGAAAAAGGCACAAATTCAGACATCTTTCTTAGTAAAGACGTCAGCAGCGTTACAAGAACAACAGAATGGGAAGACTATGCGTCTCGGACTCGGAAGCCCTCGTCCTCCTCCAATCACTCCCTCACGTCCCCCAGCCGGTGCACATCCGCCGCAGCAGCCAAGGCGGCGAACACCTCGTCTGGACTGTAAACGACGCCCTCGTCCTCCGAATTCCAGCCGATCAAAGCAACGCGGAGCCATTGCTCCGAGAAAGGAGACTGCTTGACCTGCTTCGGAGAAATGACAAAATCGCACCTGTTGTCCCGCCGTGTATTGACGTCGGGGTTTGGAACCCCCACGGCTGGCAGTACGCTTTGTACCACAAGGCGACGGGTGTGTCTGTGGAATCGGACCCCCAGGCAGTGACGAATGCCACTGAAGACGATTTGGTAGAGTTACTGGTCGGCCTGCGAGGCGTGGGTGTTGGTGATGCCCTGGGTGTTGGTGTTCCGGAGGGCGACGAGGTGGATTTCGAGAAACTGCGCGGTAATGCGAGGGCGGCTTTGGACGTTTTACAAAAGAGTCAACAGCTGATGGAGTTGGGCGAGGTCGTTTCGCTGGAGAAGCTCGACGCCCCTTGGTTTGTTCGGCTTGGCGGCAGCATGAGGAGGGTGCTCAGCCATGCAGACCTCAAGGGGGAGCATGTGTTTCTTGACGCGGCTGGTCGGGTTACGGGCGTGATTGACTGGAGCGACGCCCAGGTCGGCTGTCCGTCGGTTGAGGTTGCCGGGCTAGCGGTGGCTGTCGGTGCCAGGATGGCAGCCCGGGTAGCGAAGAGGGCGGGATACGAGGCGGATATTGTGTGCAAGGGCGTCATCATGGCCCGGTGTAACGGTGTTGTGTGCTTGGAGGCCATCTTGCGGGGGGCCGATGACAGCCCGGAGTGCTTGGTGAGGAGGCAACTGGGGAGAGCATTTGAAGAGCTTGACGCTTGAACGAAGGTGCAGAACGTTCAACTTTGCGCGTACCCCTTGATGAAGTCTGGTGAACAGACATCGTGAGAGTACCGCCTGCGGGAGCTAATGGCCAAACTAACCGGGCTACGAGGCGCGGTTTCTGTAGATCCCATGGGCAGGGAAGATTTTAATAAACCAGGCCTGAAGTAAATTATCTGCAATCTAGTCGCATCATCACGTTTGTGCTTTGATTAGCCACGCTCCGATAAGACGAACCCTCTTCTTCTCGCAAACATCTCAGTCTTATATCCGTTTAACCCCGTTGCCGCAGGAGCTAATGTAATCACCCAGAGCATCACCTCCCATGAATGCGGAGCAAGCCGTCGGCTGAAATGCAAGTCTCGCCAACATGGCAGCGGACCAATACGGTCGCACATTAGCTAAGGTCCGCAGTTACTGCCACAACCCCACATTTAGCATTTTAAGCGATTTTAGTGGTTTAGGCGGTTTAAGCGATTTTTAGTATTTTAAGTAGATTACCTGTGTACGAGTAATATTACTATTATAAAGAGACCTAAAATACGTATAAGAGAAGGTTTACACTCTTTTAAATAAAGGACTTACCTATTAATAGATTATTAATTACCTTAATAATTAATTTTTTATATAAGAGTAATAAATTATTAATATTTATACCTTTTAATATTAGCTTTCTTCTTAAGGTTTTTTACGTATATTAATTATAATATTTTTCTTTAATCTTTATAAAGAGATATTTAAGCTTTTTATATAAGAGTAATAAATTATTAATATTTATACCTTTTAATATTAGCTTTCTTCTTAAGGTTTTTTACGTATATTAATTATAATATTTTTCTTTAATCTTTATAAAGAGATATTTAAGCTTTTTATATAAGATTATATAATATAAAGTATTTTTTATATAATAAATAAGCTTCTTTAATAATAAGATAATTTAATAATTAACTTATAAACTCTTAAGTTATAGCTTTAAAGTTAAGGGTTTTTATAATAATATTATATATAAATTATAAATAAATTAATTAAACGTG